GCTGGAAACATTGTGAAAGAAACACAGACAAATTCTTTTTTCCCTAAATTCTAATTTGTACTTCATGTGACTAGAGGGCTCAATATATTCAACTATGAATCCCTACCCTCTTTATTTTTATGTAGCTACAGTTGTCTCCAAAAATATAACCACAAGGGCATATGCAGTCAGGACAGTATTAAAAAAATTAAATCTGATCATGATGGAGTCAAGGAAGGGGAAGACTAGGGAAGTAACTAGAAACACATGTAATAGCACAGAACACCACTTACAAGAACTCACTGGTAGTAAAATTTAATGGTAGGACTTAATTGTTTGTTTTAAGAGATAAACTCACTGAACAAAGGCATTCTGAATATCACGTATTACTTTTATTGCCACAAGGATTAGAAGCTACAAGCTCAGATTGCATTTTCCCAGTTGCCACAAAACGTGAGGCAAAAAGACTTCCTGTGTGCAAAGAGCAGTTGAGCATTACTGCAGTCCTCAGGTCTCCATCCAAACCCATCACATCCAAAAAAAAAAGCTAGAGAACTGACCTCAGTTTAGCAATTTACCAAAGCACCACTCTCACACAACTCCATTAGGTCAAGAATTGCCAGTATTTATACACAGACCACACGAGAAATAACAGAAACATAACAAAAACAAAACCAAAAGGGAGCAATAATCAAATTAAACAAGGACTGACACAAGTAGGAGCTAAGATCAAAAAATGCAGCTGAATGGAACAAGCTGGATTACTGTCCCAAAGTCAGGGGAAGGGTTGTGATCCTCTCTCCTTCCCACTCCTACAGCTACTAGAACCTCTGGACAGGGCATTTCTCTTTGGGTTTTGGTAAGGATAGAGACAAGGACACAAATACAATCACAAGAATCTGAATGACCCTACTGACATATTAGGTTTTGGGATTTAATTTTAAAACTCTAAACTCCAGTGGCAAATAGTCTGAGATTTGAACAAACAATAATCCCAAATTCCTTCCAAGTTACCTTAAAGATAACAATGAATTTACATTCAAAATACAGTAACCCAAAAAGATTTAAAAAAAATACTTTTAGGCTGGTTTTGACTGTGCCGTTGTGGCTTTAAGAACAAATGTTTGGCTGACAGGGCCAGTGCTGTCTGAGCCATGCTGTGCTTCTCAAGCCATTTTACATTTCATTAGGCAGTATCAACTGAACTTCTAGCAGGAATGAAAAACACCAGTGAGACCCTTTAGTGCACAACACTCACATACTCACTGCAGCCCTTCTAGATGCATGCAAGCACTTGGCATATAGAAAATGTACTGACACTATGATCAGATTTTACCGTTTCTATTGAGAATTAGTAAGAATAAAACTCCAGAGATGCCTTATTGGCAAAGCCATTGAAAAGGCACAGCAGACCATTTTATTCTTCCTGTTCAGAGTCCTTCTATCCTTTTTTACTACTAATATATTCCAGAAACAAGACATAGTGAGCTGCATGTAATTATCTTACTCAATTTCCATACAACAGACATTTCTTTTATTGCATAAACCCACATATTCCCATCTTCTCCTTTAAAAATTGAGACAGTGAGTGGTTTAAGTAATTACAGCTGTCATGGAGGGTTTGACAAATAACTTTTCTGCTCAATGTATGCTTTAGGCCACTGGGAAAGCTGTCAAATAATGACATCAGAATCTACATTAATGCTGGCAAAATGCAACTGTGCTTCTTTTCACATTTAACTCAGGTGGTTTATAGCCCCTCTTTTCCCTATTCCATGGTCAAGAACATGAGTGGAATGAACAAATGTGCTGTAACTCAGATAAAATGGGGAGAGATAATGAACATTAAATGAAAGTATGAAAGAAAACAAAAATAAAAAGCATGAAAGCATATCCTTCATTTGATAATGAAGAAGCTTGCTCATTCTTCATCATCAATGAGCTTTGTAAACTTGCTCACTTCCTAAAAGTCCAATTAAGATGTAAGGGAGGAACACAAAGGAATGAGATACTCTTTCAGTATCTAAGTTATTAGTTATTACTACACTGCATTTCTTGCACATCCCTCACATATGAGAATATGAGATGGGTGACTGCATCACACACTGCAGAGTTGCCTTCCTGCTAATCCATGCCAAAGCTGTCCAGACTATTCCATCTTCAGTTGGATTTTAAAGGTGATCTTAACTCCAGTCAAAGTACAAAACAACTAGAAACTCACTACTGCTTTACTACCTGCTGAAGTTATATGCTCAGTTCTGAGAGTAACCTTGAGCATTGATCTTGGTTTAAAAAGTCACACGTGGGTTTCCATCATCTGGAAGACAGCAGTGCCCAGAAGCAGCCAAGGCTCTCACAGGACTAGAAAATCCACTTTTCAGTGACAAGTTTACGGACTGAAGAAAATTATTAATGAGGTACTTACTTTTTCCACCTACAAGAAATACTGTATTATAAAGTTCAAAAATAAAGTGCAGCAAACATGACCTGGTTTTGCTGCTCTGGTGACAGTTTAGGGAGTGGTTAAGAATGGTACCTAGAAGCTATTACAGCTTGAGCATCAGGGTTAGTATTAGTCAAATCTGAACCCATACACGGTCCAAAAAATGTGATTTAACATTGATTTAACATCTGGAAATGCACCTTATGGCTGACATCACCCACCATCAACCTCAAAATCCGCACAGAGCATCCAACTAAACTTGATCAAACCTCTGATCTCTGACACCCTGTTCCTGCTGACCCGCTCTGCTGGTTCACCTGCGTTCAGAGCAGCTTCCAGGCAAGGCCAGGGGCTCTGTCAGGGCTGGGGGCAGCGAGATCCTGCTTTCTCGGCAGGGTAGTTACGTTAATGACGGATGTGATTCATTCCCACCGCGTTAGCATCCATGTGGTTACACTGACATGCAGTTACTTTTATTGCTACAAGAATGGGAGTGAGCTGCATCAGTACATGATTCACACCAGAGAGGTGTCTATTCAGCCACATGAGGAGGAAGGTTTGCACATCGTTGTTTCATCTTCAGTTTTGTTACTAATTTGTAATTTGGGAGCAATTCCAGTCATTTTTATGAAACACAGAGACGCAGCACCTCATGCATGTGCTTGGAGTCTGTGGCACAGCATGTAGGAAAGCTGTTGGGAGTCTTCCAAGTGTGGGGTGTTGTTTAAAGTGTTTACTTTCAGTGTTTATAACACCTAACACACAAATACGTTGTAACATATTATTTGCCGCTAGTCCTATACAAAAGAATTTTAAGTCTCCTCCCATTAACAGAATTCTGCTCAGAGTTACTAAAAACAAAAACAAGTCACAGAACAGACCATGCTAAAAAAAAAGCACAAGATGAAGTTATTCACAGCAGCCTTCAAAACAGAGAATTTAAACAGAACGTGTGTCCCCACACACACTCAATAAACTTTCCTTTTGACAACTTAAGAACGGTTCTAGCTTTTTTCTGAGGTTCATTGTGATGATAAATGCACAAAAGTGTATGCCATGCACTGCTGCTTATTAGCATTTAATGCTTCTTGAACAACTACAATGCAAATATTCATCACAATAGATGGGAACCTTGGTGGGAACAAGAATTCCCACAAATTGTTTAAGAGTACAGTAAATGAATAGTGTTATAAACAAAAAGCCCAATCCCCTCACAAACGTGTATGCTGCCTTTGCTTACAGATTAATCCACTACACAGTCATTGTGCAACTGCACTTGTACAAAAGAAACAAAAAACACCCCAAAATTTTATATTCCAACAAGAAGTGTTTTCTATGTGTAGATGTGTTCAAGACAAGCAAACCAGTGTTGCCTCAAGGTTTGCTTGACTTTTCATGAGTGTTTATTTTGTCAGTGACAGATTTTTGCATAAGTAGGATGTGACAAGACAGAGTATGAAGTCAAGACAATTTTAAAGAATCTTCCATTTTGAATTACTTAACGACAGTGCAACCAGCACACTTACAAACAAACATGACAACTTGAAAAAAGTGATATTGGAAGCTTACTTCTAAGCTGTTAAGCTAAATAACACTAAAAAGTTTAGATTTCAAAGCTTCAGATGGCATGCTGACACCTTTTAAAGTTACTTTGACTTCACTTATACAACTGCACAATCAAAATAAACTAAATCTGATCTACATCATGTATTAAGAAGATTTCTACATCTGCACAAACTCTCATTTCCCAAGTCTCACCTCTCTAGTTAGTACAGTAATATGCAAACACAGATGTGTTTCCACTTGTGATCATGGTACTTACAGTCAAAGTATACATTTTTAAGTCTATTCTCATGAATACATTTAAGGAATAGAGAGGACAAAAGCCCTAAGGCTTACTGTACCTTGTAAAGTAACTAACAATCTTTAATATCCTTAAATCCATGTTATACAGGAGAAAAAAAGAAAAGGCTGTGAATATATTAATGGTATCTTTCATATCTTCTTATGGCTGTTAAAAATTACAATAAAAGAAACATAAAAGCTTATAAAAACCAGTTTCTTTAGCATACACACACCTGACAGCCCTTCTTGGAAAGTTGGTTTCCCGTGCCAGCAGGACAAGATGAGAGATTGCGAGGGTGCACACGTATGTGTATATACACACATTCACGTACAGATGTATCAGAGTAAGAACACTAGCTAAAACCACAGCAGCGAGCAGCAATACTGAGGAAAACCTCACAACGCCCTTTAAAACAGTTCCCCATAAGGGAAACATTTTACAGCAGAGATGATAAAGAAAAAAACCCCTACAAATGGGAGAGATCTCATCAGACAGGCAAAGGAAGAACCCTGCCACAGCTCCTCCATCCTGCCTCGAGAGCCGAGGAGAGGAAGATCGGAGAGCGAAGGGAGGAGGCGAAACCAGCTTCAATTTAACGAAGAGACAGCAAATTGATCACCTCAGACTCAGTGCTGAGCGAGGGGCTGCTAGGGCAGCCAGGACGCCCCGACCCCCCGAGAGCCCCCGCTCCCATTCCCCGCTGCCTCGCCCCCCTCACGCCCGGTCCCTCACCAGCCTGGGTGGTGTCGCTGAGATCGTGGTTGGCGGCGCTGGCCCGCGGATAGTCCCGGAGCTTCCTGCCGCTCAAACTGAGGGTCCCGCTGACCGCCGCTTCTTCCAGGGCTCGGTCCAAGGAGCGGCTCCAGGAGCCGGGAGCCGAGGGACCAGGCGGAGCGGGACAAGCCGCGGGCATCGCGGCAGAGCCGCCCTCCGGCGCCGCCATTTCCCCGCCACAGCCCGGCCGGACAGCGCATGCCAGAGCGCGCGGCAGGGGCGCATGCGCGGCCGCCGCCCGGCGGCCCCGGGACCCGCGGGCACCGCGTCCGTCCGTCCGTCTGTCCGTCCGTCCGGGCCGGGCCGGGCCAGCCTCGCCGCGGGGCCGGATCTTCCCGCCCGCCTCGGCTCGGCTCGGCCGGCGTGCAAGGGGAGCGCCGCCCCGGACACGCCTGGACACCTGCTGGAACTGTTAAAAGTTATAGTTTTCCCGCCAACGGTGGTATGTCACAGGATGGTTTCTGGGTGAGCGTCGCTCACAGCTGCTGGGTGTCGGGCCCGTTCCAGCAGCAAACAAGAGCAGAGCGCACAGATCTCCGCTAAGTGGGAAATCTAACAACTGCTTCACGCTTTTTAACTTAAGGATTGATTACATTAGAAGGCCACACCCTTTGCTACATCTTAGTAAATGCCATCTTGCCCTGATGCTTCCACTGAACCCACCTGATGGATGCTGCAGCCAGCACACGTGAGCTGATAATGAAGAACGAATACTGTCAATAATCAAGTAGCAAGACAATCACAATATTTAACACCTTATCAAATATATTTACAGGCAGCGTTTTGTCCTGCACTGACCATTAAGAGCAGCATTTCCAGCGCTTTGTGCCTCCTGCTGGCACAGCACTCGCACACGGGCAGGAAGCCGCTCGGGCTGTGGGTGCAGCACAAGGTGTTGATGACAGCGATTCTCGCTATCAAGACATGTCACAGCAACAATCGGTGCTTGCGCTGACACATCTGCTACTCTCACCACACCAAGTCACTGAATTAGGAAGTGCTACTGAAATATTAATTAGTAGCTGACACATTCAAATGCAAGTGAGCCTCTACAGTGCCACTCCAAGAAGTGCTCTCTTGTCAGAGTATTAAGCTGGGCAAGGAGTGTGAACCCTCTCTTTTAAGTTAGGTTGCTTTCTGCCGTGTTTTTCAGAATATTTAATAAGAATTTGATCAATAAGAACCCCTTGCAGGCCATCAGAAAATTCACATCACCAGTATATTGCCCAGGTGGTTATAACAGGACCAAGACAATATGAAACCTGTAACTTTTTATTAAAAAAAAAATTAACAGCTTCAGAATAGATCAAATGTAATAACTTCTCCAAAAAATACCAAAAAGTACAGTGTAAAGCATCTTCTCATTAAATACAAACTAGCACTTTTGATGCACTGCATCAATGTTTTGCATCTAGGCTGATGCAAAAGAATTTTTTTGTTGCATCCTGGCACATGGAAAACGTATACACTGAAACAGGATGACTGACTACTCTTTACCTACTCAAATTCTAACAGTGGGACATTTATTAAAAAAAAAAATCCTACTAGTAATTGAGAAAGAAACCTTAACACCATTACATTTAGTTTGCCTCTGCTAAGGTGTATATTTTTCAACATTAAAAATAAAGGTTTAAGTCCTATTTAGCATCAGAGTGCACTCTGACTTCAAAACAATACCAAAAAAACAAAAAAAGCCCTTCTGCTGTCAAGTGCTCTTCAAGGTTAAGTTGCCAGTATATGCTAGTTAACTCGGAATTTGAAATAAAAATGCAAGGAAACCAACTCTGCCAAATATAAATTCTTCAAGAATGTGAAAATGAGTTAAACCTGCTTCAAACACCATAAACATTCCTGGATGCAGCAAGCCAGCCACCCTTGCACCTGACTGTACCTAACCCTCCTCACCAAAGAGCAGTGCCAAGATCATCAATGCCTGGTCTGGAAGCAATTCTGAAGAGGTGCCTCAGTTTCAGGGATTACATAAATATAGATTGAGGATGCCCCAGTTGTTACTGTCCTGCAGATTCTGATGCACACAGCTATGCTTAAAGCAGGTGGCTACATGTTCCTGCCTAATGCCTTACACATGCTGGCAAAGTGAGGGTTTTCCTCCAGAAGTGTTCCTCAGTTTCAAACAATTTCCAGATGTCTGACCACTTTGGATCAGCTTCACATCTTGCCTCTCTTTGGTATAAAAAAACAAGTGCCACAAGATTGCTTGCCTCCAGCTATTTTTAAGAGTTAGAGAAAACCCTCTAGGGGCAAGGCATGCAGGATGAGAATCCTGTATCTGGGAGGGCAAGAAACTACCATACTGCTGACTTCCTTCTGAAGGAAGGCTATATTTTTTCCTATCATATTATTCCAAAACATGAAGTTATTGCATTAAGTTTCTGAAAAAACTTTCAAAAAAGAAATAAAAAGTTTCAGAAGAAAAAGAGACTGATAAACTCCATTTACAGAGGAGGATGATGAAGCTATTTGGAATATAAAGGACTCTCACGCTGCCTGTGCAGTATTCCTCCAATATGGTATATGATCTGGACCACTTTTAAGGATAAGAGTAGAATAGTCTCCATCCCAGTTACAAGTTTTGGGTCTCAGCTAACAGCTTTATTTGTGAATGTGAGGATGCAAAACAGTTTTCAAGAAAGGAAAAAAAATGGAACTTTTTAAAAGCACAAAGAAGTACAGAACCAATGCTCCCATGAAAAATGCCGCTACATCGCTACCAAAGTATCCACGGACTGAGGCTCTGTGCTAAACTGGTCTCTGAAAGAGAGCTCAAAGGCAGTCCCTAAAAAAACCCTAAAATGGGGTTTGTAATTAAACACTTAAACAATCTTTACCATAACAGAGGGGTCAAAGAACTCAGCTGGGCAACAGAATCTTTTTCAACCAGGTGATGGTGCCACTACGTCAGATCAATTTCCACTTTTTCTCCCTCAGGGCATTAAGTCTTTTACCATTCCAAGTAAAAGTAATAAAGAGAGATAGCTCTGCCACCATCTTAGCAAGATGTCTGGAGAATTCTAGTGACATATGCTGTATTCTTCTGCCCACTTTCACTTCAGGGGCTTAGATAGGTGGGCTCAGTGCCCAAGTTCATCTGCGAGGTTAGCCCACTGTTACAAAACGGCTTCCTTTGTTCTGAGACAGTGCTGTCCTCTGCTCCTTCAGGATCCCAAATCGCTCGTTCAACGTCATCCCTGTCTGAAAAAGAAAGTAATTTAACCAAAACTTTAAAGGTGTTGGATTAATTTAATCAAAGTAATGGAGACAGAACAGTTTTTTCTTCAGTCTGTATCATCACTTAACTCCTTAGCTGCCTCACTTGGATTTTTTGTCACTTCCCACACCGTTTAGAAGTCAGATTGCATTACACATCAAGAGCTTGCATTTTCAGAATTCATTAAGAACACATGGTATATAATGTCAATACTCAAAGTCTACTCAAAATATTATAAGTTAAACTGAGGACAAACAGACTGAAAAACAGAATTTCCAGTACACATTTCCCCACATAGATTCTCTGCAACTTCAACAAATGCAACATTTTCACCATTTTAATGCAGGTTGCTTTCCAGTTCACTCAGCTAAGGCAGCAACCTGGAGTCTAATCCAGAAGTTCAATTGATTTTACACTACAGTAGTAGACTTTCTGACATAGTTCTTATTCCTGGATGGAACAAATGCAGATCAGTGCCTTGACTCCATGCCGATTTCTACAACTGGCACTAAGGAGCCGATTACAAGAACAGCGTCTAACTCTGTCACCCTGTAAGAATTCCTTCAGTGACAGCATTAGGATTGCTGCACCAAATCACCTGTCTTCATGAAACTTGTGAAAAATTGCTCATCTTTCAAGCCTTTACATGCTCACGTTTAATTTTTTTTTTTTCCTAGACGGACAGCAAAAGTTGCCTTATAAATTTGGCTGCCAGGGTTCCAGGCAGGTCACACAGCTGAAGCAGCTCATCCCTGAATTATTCACAGTTGGTGATGCAAGCACAGCAGGAGCACCAGAAGCCTTTTAGAAATATTCAACATTTTAAATACATTTAAATCATGTGGGCATGCAAGGCATGAACTAGAAGAACAGGAACAGTGAGTTTAGCTACTTGCTCGAAGTTTCATAGCGAGTTAGCGGAAAGACTGGAAGTGGAAACAAGTAGTAGTCACTAGTTCTCTCTTTCTGTCACTTGGGAGTCTAGGAGCAAAGTGTCTCACTGGCTTTTATTGGTCTCGAAACTACTTCCACAGTTATGAGAGGAAAATTGCATTTACCTGTTTTCCAACACTATTTATATCAAACTGCAATGGAACCCCTTTTGGAATCTTCTTCTCTTCAGACTGGTCCCTCTTCATCAGAAATGGTGGCACAGGACTACGAGTTAATCGTAATTTCTGGGAACTGTGAAAGAAGAATGTTAAAAAGGACATGATGAACACGTGTTTTATGCAAGAAAGCCTTAATGCTGATAGAGGTATGAATTTTTCATCAAATCATTTGACCAGGCTGGCTGAAAAGCTGGAGGGCAAAAATTCAAGAAGGTAAGTCAGGCAAAACTAAAAAAGGGACAATTTGTTATGGTTATCAGACACAAAGAGTCCCAGCAGGAAACCAACTTATTTTTCATCTGCAATTTTATTAACAGACTTGTAATTTGTGGTTAATTTATCATATAAATACAAAAAATAAAAATTGGTACAGTCTTCCTTATTGATAAAACACTACCAAGGAAACGCTAATCAAGACATTTTTAAAATATACCACCTATAAACAACAGTACCACCAACTTCCCAAACACAAATACAGCAATGCTCTCTTTAAGTACGAGTCCAGCAGTATTTTATGAATCGGGGAGTAACTGTTACCATCACTCATCAAGTAGGTGTTCATTCATTTCACTCAGAGGTGAAAAACAGCTGTGACATGGCCTGATTTGGAAGGACAAAGTGAAAATCTACCAGCCCATCACTCACCCACTCTATACATCACATCAAGCTCCTAACTGGGAGCTGACATTGTGAGATCCAGCTGTGATATCATTCAAACACTGCTCAGAAACACTCAGAAAGGGGCTAGACTTAAAAGCCTTCACAAGAAGCTATGATTTTGAGGCCACCTAAAACATTACCCGCAAGGAATGCATTATATGGTTCAAAGCAGCAATTTCTTTTATGTTCAGAACATTTCAGAACTTAATTGAAAACTCACA